CGGAAATAGGGAGATAAAACCTATTGCCGCAGAACGATTGAGTAAGAGTATTACAACAGTATCGTTATTATATGTATCCGGAATAGGAAAATAATAAAACCTATTGCCACAGAGCGATTGAGTAACGAGCATTACAAAAGTATCGCTATAGTACAATATGATGCACACATAGATAATTGATCAGTTGTAAGTTTTACTTTCCAGATAGATTGCCCGCGAGTAGGGTATTTCCTTTGAGAATTTGATACACCCGTTATGAACGGCAGATATATTTGTTTTAGCTTAGTTGATATCCTCTTATATTAGAGCAGGTCACTTGGAAGTAATTCGAGATGAGATGATTATTCTTTATGTTGGAGATTGGAGTATTTATCATTGATTATTTATTTTTTATTCATAGAGAGTTATATGAATGATTTGATATATGTATGTACTGACTCTATTTTCTTATATACTCCTACCCCTTCCCCTGGGGAGAGGTAGTGATGATCTCGCTAGAGCTTTGACGCTTGTTGTTTTCCCCCTTTCAGGCAACGAGTCTGGCGCACGGAGAGTCGCAGGTTGATGGGACTTCTTAGTTGTCCATTTAGTTACGTATCATATTTTGTAGTTAATGCAGAACTCCACATGTAGTTGATAAATTTTAGAATCTAGATTTGTATTTTGTTTTATAGAGTTAAGAGCTATTGTGAGATTTTGTTTATGTGACTCATTGTATTCGAGATTCAGTTCAGACTCAGAGATATGTCTATTTTATTCCAGTTGGGCTCATTATTGATTTTTCTTATGCTTCTTCTGTGTATATCCAGTGTTGTCCTATTTCTATTTTTACCTGTCTGTACCTTCACCTATTTATTGTTTCCACTAGAGAGATAGTGATTGTGATGGTGAAACTTGTCATAGGATGGTGGTTGGTGCTTGGTAGGTTTGACAATCCGGGTTTTACCTGGGACTGCAGCCTTGTGTGAACCCTGGGGCGTCACACTTGGACTCTCAGATTTTATGAGAGATGCGATATTGAGTTTTTCTTAGGCTTTTATTCATTAACCTGTAATTAAGATAAAACATGTTTATTAGTAATAAATTTATTTAAATTAAATACATAATGAGGGTATAAAATATAATAAAAATATGATTATCAGTGGTATTATAAGTTGTTAGCTCTCATGTTTATGAGCCTATGGTCTAATCTTGTTTTGATGATTTACATACAATCCCTAACATCGTTTGTCTAGTGTTTATATTTGTTTATTTGGTATTTTAGATAAACATCGATATTGGAGGTTGGATGGATTGCGCCCTAACGACGACATCTCGGAGGTTGGATGGAATCGAGCGTAACGACGATACCTAAAGGAGATTGGAAGGAAATAGGAGTGAAGCTTTGAATTGCAAATCAAGATCCAATATCGCTTCATCCGTAACCAAGACGAGCTATATTGAAGATTTTCATCTTATGTATATTAGTTTAGGAAATTTACTTTGTGTGCTTATACATAAAGCTCAAACTACACACACACATTGATGTGTTTATGGATTAAAGACTTGATTACACTATTTTATATCTTTCCTCAAGTCTATTAATCTATTTAAAAAAGTTTGAAACTTGTTTGAAATTATTTTGTCAAAATCATGTGTTTTTGAGATTTGGTATTTTGACCAATTTTGTAAAATGATGAGTTTTCACAAATGGGAAATGCAATTTGAAAATTCTTTTTTTAACATGTTTATTTTTATGTTTATAAATATTTCCCAAAGTTTTATAATTTTTAGAATTTATTTGCTATTTTTAAAGGGGTTCAAAGTTTATTTTCACTGTTCAAAAAATCTCATGTGCACGTCATCAGTCGACTGATGAACAATATCAGTCGACCGATGAAACATGCTAAAAAGAGAAGAAGTTTTTGCTCAGTTGACTGATGAACCATCAGTCGACTGATGCAAGTTATCAGTCGACCGATGAGTTCATCAGTCGATCGATAGCGGATGAGCGGCCTGTAACAGTTAGCTCATCAATCGATTGATGAACAATATCAGCCGATTGATAGCACTATAACGGTTAGTTTTTTATCTTCCTGATTTTTTAGGATTTTTGTCTTTTTACTTGGTTTTTGGCGTTTGTTTTGTGAACCTATATATACCCCATTCCCTCTAACTTCTGAACTATCCAATAAAAGTTTTAAACAAGTTTTTACAAGTGTATAAGGGTGTTTTTGAGTTTGGTTTACAAGTGTTTATGTGAAAAAGTTTTCACAAGAGGAGGAGATCATTTCTTTCATGTTTGGGTTTCAATTTTAATCTCTCTCGCTCTTGATTTGAAGAAATGATGAGCATAGTGACGAAGACCGCAGGAAAATAGCAGGATACATTCTGACAGTTTCACGGTCGACCTCAGATGACGCGACGGTCGACCGCAAATGTGCACACGACTGATAAAAGTCGCTGGACTTTTCACGGTCGACCGCGATGGGTTTTGCGGTCGATCGGACAAACCCTGTAGGGTTTTTAGTCTTGGTCATTGGATCTGGTCGACCGCACGTGGTTCTGCGGTCGACCGCCGCACGTGGTTCTGCGGTCGACCGCGAGTCGGGTCTACAGTTGAGTTTGATTTTCTAACCCGTTTTATTCGATCATGCTTGTCGAGTTATTCGATCATGCTTGACGTCGGATCTTATTTATGACGTGATGAATGAGACGTCGTCGAAGATAATGTGGGAAACGCTCAATGAGAAGTATCTTATGAAGAGCATTGAGAATCGGCTTCACTTGAAGAAGAGGTTTTACCAGTTCAAGATGAAGAAGGAAGTTTCCATTAGGGGGCATGTAAACAATTTCACGAAGCTACTTTCAGATATGGCCAATGTGGACATCATGGTTGAGGATAAAGACAAGGCGATGCTACTTTTGTGTTCGTTGCCCGAGGACGATTATAGTACGTTCGTTCTCACTATGATCAACGGAAGAACTACTGTTAGCTATAAAGAGATGACCTCAGCTTTAGTGAATTATAAGTTGAGGAAGAGTATTGGCGAACCCTCCGAGAAGGCATCGGGAGATGCATTAGCAGTTCGAGGCCGTAGTCCAAACCGTCACCAAGTCAACCGCTCAAAATCAAAGAACAAAGGTGCCTTTAAGAGTGTTGATAGAAATCAATGTCGGTATTGTAAAGAAGAATCGAAGAGGCTTTTATTAAGAATAATTAAGTGGAAGGAACAGATTAGTTGGGGTAATAGAATGGAGGAACTCAGCGATTTTATTACGGTGGGAAGGGGAATATATCTGGTGATAATTTTGGAGGGAAATGGGACCCCAAAAAAAACAGCATTCTAATCACCATTTAATGCCTACAGTCGAAACGTCATGTTTCTGACGTGAGAGGGCGATAGTTACAGGCTGTGTAGGGGTATTTTAGGTATTTTGTGAGGGGTTTAAACGGAGTTACACCTGTGGATTCGTTTTGGAGGCTGGAAGAAAATCACAGAGCATTTGAGGGCAAAGCACCCGTTGAAAAAGTCTTTAGGAGGGGGGGGGACATTTTCTTGTGTTTTGGGGGCTGGAAGCATTTTTTCCTAAAATAAAACACCGCGATAGTGCGCAAGAGGTGGAAGAGGTCGTGCATAGTGCTAGAGAATATAGGCATTTTTGAATGCTCAGTAACCACATGTGAGTGTGGCTAATAATGTAGTACCAATGGTGTGGTGCGCTCCTCGCATAGACACGTGGAAGATGAATTTTAACAGAGTTGTATTTTCAGAAAAGAAGGCAATGGGGATAGGTATAACTGTACAAGAACCATGCAAGTGAGTTTTATGCGGCCATGTCAAGTTTGCTCAAATACTGGAATCAGGAAGATACTTTTTTAAGGAGATGGCGATGACAATAATTGGAGACACTCAGAATGAATTGGAGGAGCACTCATTTTTAGGGTACATCATGGATGTTATTAGGCTTTCGTCTTCACAATTAGAGGAATGAAAATTTTCAGGTAGGTTGAGAATGAAGCAGCTTATTTATTGACCTGAAGAGTTAAAGATCTAGATGACTATGTGGTATGGCTCGAAGACCCTCTGTCATTTTTGCGAAATGTTCTGTAATTGAATCTTTTAACAAAGCTATTTGCTATATTATGGTTTTTTAAGCTTGGATGTATTTTGATAAACATAATTGTTCATAAGGCTAATGTTTTAAATAAAAAAACATTATAAATTGGTCGCATTTTTTAAAATTAGGACTGGATATTCCTCAAATATTAATATGTTTTTGATAACTATAACTATTTAATTAAGAATATATTTTTATTTGTTACCTAGATACTTTCATTTTGACTAAAAATTGATTTCACGTAAGAATTAAATTTAAGGGTTTTAGAGTATATAGCTTACAATAACAATCTGATTTTTTTAAATGTTGCTATGTCAAAAAAAAAAAAAAATGCTCATTTGGAAAGTGATCATGTGGATGGATCATCACTTTTCAATTGTGTTATAATTCCTCAAATTTCAAAACAAATAACCAACCGGAACATGAATAGTTATGCAAATTTAGAGGATATATAATATGCTAATAAGGTAGATTTGGGGGTAAATGCAAGAAAGGGGGAAAATAAGGGGGAAATGGTTGTTTGGATTATAACCCTTAAATCATAGGTATTTGCAAAAGTACTCCCAAAAACTTAGTATTTGCAGAACTACCTCTCAAATCATCAACTTTGTAAAAAAAATCCCTAAAATCAACAAATCATCAACTCAGTGCTAAAAATTTGACTTTACCAAAGTTGATGATTAATTACTTTTGCAGTATTTTTTTTCAAAGTTGATGATTTGAGGGATTTTTGCAAATATGCATAATTTAAAAGGTATATACGCAAATAAACCCAAAAAAAAGTAATGGAATAAAATGTGGCAGGAAGGAAAGGGGGCCAAAAAAAAAAAAGCAAAAGACGGTTGATGGCTGGAGCTATTCTGTGTGTGGGTCTTGCAGCTGATACATCACCGTGCTTCTCTCAACGGAAACTGTAAAAACAAAAGCACAAAAACGCATCTCCCCTCACTCTCTCACATCAATTTCAAATCAAAATCCACCATTTCAAATCCCCACTCCGCCCGCTCCCACATCTCTCTCTCTCTCGTCTCTCCTCTCTCTCTCTTCCCTCAGCGTTTCAAATACGCCCATCGCCCCCCCCTCAACCTCAATTCTCCGATCTCGAGATCAGCGCCGCCATGAGCGGAGCTCTAGCCTCCGGCAACGGCAGGGAGCTCTCGGCAACCTCCTCCGACGGAATCTCCAACCTCCGCTTCTCCAACCACAGCGACCACCTCCTCGTCTCCTCTTGGGACCGCGTAAGTACCCTAAACCCTAATTCCATCGTTCTAGGGGTATCAACCTGATTTTGCTTCTGCTCAGGGTGTTCGGCTCTACGATGCGAGCGCCAACGTCTTGAAGGGGGAGTTCTTGCACAGTGGCCCCGTCCTCGATTGCTGCTTTCATGACGATTCATCCGGATTCAGCGCTAGCGCCGATCACACGGTCAGGAGGTGAGGGGTTAGGGTTTTGATTTTGATCACTGGGGATAAGGGATTTTGGAGAATTAATGTAATAATTGTTTACATGTATGGAATGGCTGATTCATTGTTATGCATTTCTCTATCTTAGGGCCCGTTTGGATAATGGAAGTATTGGAAGTAAGAAGTAGGTTACGGAAATAACTTTCAAAACTATAAAATAGGAAGTAGCGGAAATAACATTTTTTTTTGTTTGTTTCGTATATTTTTAGAAGTAATGGAAGTAGGACTTCTTCCTCTTTATTTACTTTTTTTGTTTGGATAATATTTAAAAATATTACTAGGAAGTAATTTATACATGTTGCTTCCATTTTAGGACCCATTTGGATAGTTGGAAGTATTAGAATAAGAGGTAAATCTAAGAAGTAACTTCTAAAATTATGAAGTTTATCATCTCAAATTATACTATACAGAAAAAACTTGAGAATAATACTAAACTTGTTGCTGATGTATCTCAAATTATTCTACAAGAAAAAAAATCCGTGCACAATATCAAGGACCATTAGAACATCTGATCAATCATATATGAATGAGAACTAAAAAATTAGCTTAAAAAATATTGGGATATACAAAACAAAACCAATTTCTTGTCATGATTTGTATCTATACGCAGCTCATGTTCACATGTATAAAAGAGGGGCCCATGGGATTGGATTATGAAGACCTTGAATCTAAAATTGACCTGCAACTTTTTCATAGTGCCGAGAGATTGCATATCGAGACAGATGAGCAGTTATTAGATCCTAATTTCACGCATGTTATAAATCTTCACGTGGAGCCCGTAAGTATTCTTTTATCTACTTCAGACCTATTTCAGAGTCTTGAGGGGTGGAAAAGAATCTAGAAAATGGAGATGCCACATAGACACCACATCATCATTTAAGGAAGTAGCAAAAGTAGATTTTCAAGAGAAACAAACATACATTTTTGTCTAGAAGTAGCAGAAGTAATCTCTACTTCCTCTACTTCTGCTATTTCACAGTTACTTCCGTGCAAACAAACAAACCCTTAATCCTCACAGACAAAAAGAGCATGAGTGGCTTATAAGCCACTGAGACATGTCTGGTAAACAGTTTATTTTGGCTTATAAGCCCCCCCAACAAAAACGAAAAAAAGAAACTGGCATAACCCAACTTGTTTTTTTGGTTGCTTATAAGCCTCATAGTTTGATCGAGTAAAATGCCACTTTTTTCCTTAGCATTTAAGAAAATTCCAAAGTCCTCTTTCTCCATCTCCAACCCCTTTTTGGTCATTTTGACGACAAAGATGGATTATAAGCCACTCATTTGCCAAACACTCTACTATTAGAAATGTGTTATAGTCCACTAATTACCGAACACTTTAGATTATAATCCACTTGACTTATAAGCTATTTGTAGATTATAATTCAAAGTTGCCAAACATGTTCTAAACTTGAAGATCCTTTTTTTCTTTGAAAATCACGAGCTTTTGATTTTGATATTGCTTTCTGCTAAAGTTAGATAATCTAAACTAGAGGTAATTGTGGATTGACCCCCCTGTACCATCTCCGGAATGCTGATGAACCCTTGTAGTTCTATACTTGTGGATAGACCCCCCTTACTACCACCCAATTGTGGATAGACTGCCTGAATATTTTTGACTCTTTTATCTTCAGGAGGTTTATTTGCCAAAAAAAAAATCTACTCTTTCATTGAGGGTAAAAGGGCTAGAAATTTTCACTTAGGGGGTCTATTTGCAATAGTTGAACTACAAGGGGGGTCTATTTTCAATTGTGCAACAGTACTGGGGGTTTATCTGCATTTAACTTTTTAAACCAACTAGCCAATAGCTACCTTATTGTAAGATCTGAGAGCATTGTTATCGAGGCGTAAGACGCAATGTGGGGCGTAAAGGCCCCTTATGCGCACCATGCGCAAGGCGCACAACGATGCGCGCGCCTCACTGAATTGAGGCACACAACTCAAACTAATATTTTTCAACATAAGACAGAAGCATATAACAACATATTTATAAATTGTCACATAAAAAGATCAAGAAATATAATTTCACCTACTAAATTACGAAAAATCTTAATTAGCATGCATAACATAAAGAAGTTCATAAGTTTTCACAAATCATAATGCAAGATAGTCTCCAACATAAGCAAAAGTCTATGAAACAAAACAAGCTAGTAACAAATAAGAAATATGTATTTTTATTTAAAATATGATATATGTATTTTTAAGTAACAATTAAGTGATTAAAAAAACATGACTGTTCATAATTTTCTAGTTAGCATTCTTAATTGCTATTTGCTAGTTAGCATGAAAAGATGAAGAATGGAGGTAACAATTACATATTTACATGTTTATAATTTTCTAGTTAGCATGCTAATTAGAGAAGGAAGTTACAATTAGCAAACAAGTATACTAAATTACTAATTACTGTTTCCTTTTTATAGGTTAAACATGAAAAGATGGAGAATGGATTAGCAACTAGCAAGAAAGAGTCTATTACATAATGTAAATATGTAATATGTAAATTATTAAAAAAACAGAAGAAAGAATCTATTACATGACGCATGTGTCAAGCGCACACGAGGCGCGCTCCTCGTGTGCGTGCAGCGCCCCGCCTCTGGTGCGGGGCGCAATTGTCCTAACCCGTAGCGGGGCGCACGCCTCGATAACAATGTCTGAGAGTGCCATCTAAATATGTGGTTGAACTATATTAGCGACTTCTAAGATTGTAGTTTGGAAAGTGGCTATGGAGAGTAAGTTCTGAAACAGATATGGATGATAATGAACAGTTTAAATCTAGCTCAAAACTTCAATGAATCTACCTAAGCCTGGAAATTCTAAATACGAATATAAAACATAAATTAGTAAGATATTTCAACTAATATGATGACTAAGCTATAAAAGGATTCACCTTTTTTTTTTAAAATTATTCAACGTCCATCATGGCTTTTATAGGCTGAGACAGTTTATACATGCACCTCATAATCATAGTTCTATTTAACATAAATGCTTAATTTGGGCCTTTTCATATTACAATAGTTTGCTTGCTTCCTCATTTTATTTCCTTTGATAGAGAATCAGGGATCTTCTGATGCAATATTTCTTTTTGACGTCATTGGTTTCTTGATTTATGTTGCACCTTGCATGCAATGTGAGAATATGCATTGCAATTTTTTTCATTTAAATTTTTTTATGACTATGCAGTGCAATGCTGATGCAGATGTCATTATATTGTGGTTTTTTTTCATCTTGTATATTTTGTGGCTTCCGCATGCCTCTTTCGATCATCTGATGCCACATTTCTTTTTGACACCACGGTTTTTCTGAGAAGTGTGGCGCTTAGCATGCAATCTGAAAATATGAATTGCAATCTTTTTTCATTTAATTTATGAATGTGCACTGCAATGCTGATGTAGATGCCATCATATTGTTGTTTTTTTTGTCTCATATATTTTGTAGCTTCACCATGCCTCATTCAATTATGTATCTTGTAAATAAGGTGCCATGCTATGGCATTGCTCACTCATCATGGTTATCCGGCTACATGTCTGCTAGTCATATTCTAATGCCATGATACATCATTTACTGCTAGGCTGCTAGTCATATTCTAATGCCAACACATTACTTAATGTACTTATATCGTTTACAATATGTTGCTCCTAAACATTAAGATTATCTGCATGAATTCAACATCCAATGTTTCTCTTGAGCGCATGAGCTGTGCATGAGATCACTGGCATTTTATTATGTTTGATTTCATCTGTCTTTAAGTCATGGGATGATCCTTCCACTTTGTTTAGTGAATAAGTAAAGGAATTGTGTAATGCTACTTAACTATGAGGTCAGCAATTGTGAACAACGGGACTGTTGTTTGGAAACTGTTCCTCCTATGAGATGGCCAACCCACTTTATAGAGCTAATTAGATGAAGAAGTTATGGAAACTTTTAAAAAAATTGTATAGCTCTATATCATCGTGATCCTATTTGGCTTTATTTTTCCTTCTTGTCAGTCAATCCTATTACATTGTTTAACTAAATTTCTCTAAACCCGACCTGATGTGCTTTTTATGTCTTGCTCTTCCTTCCTCTGTTATAATCCTTAAAAACTGATCCATACGGAGCCTCTCTTTAATCTGTGTTGTTGTTACCAGATATTATTTTAACACAGTTCTTTTTACCATACCTTCACTACCTACCTTAATGTGTTAAAGAGTTGATGATTACCATGTTGTCATACGTGTTGCAACATTCTTGTTTTCACTATGTTTATCACGCATTTAAACCATCTTAACTGGTACCTACATGTTTTAACTGTCTTCATCCCAGCATTCTAAAGCATGTAATGTTGTAGATGTAACTTGCAAGCTTTAATTAAACTAAGTGGCATATGTATCATATGCAAATTTCTAGCTTGTTTGACTAGTTTGAAACTAGTTTTTTGTTAGTTAATAACAATATGACCAATTAAATCTCTTAATTCTTATCTGGCTGAAATTGCAATCCTTTTTCGATTTACCTATTTTTTTATTATCAAACCTGATTAAGAAAGGAAAATAGAATTTGGTGTCGCATAAACTTCTTACTCTCAGATGCCTTGAGAGTGCATTTATTTCCATCATTATCCACTTCCTCATCATCCTTATCATCATCACATCAGTACTAGTATTTGCGTTGTATGTGCTCAAGTTTGTGCTCGCACTTTGCGATAAATAGGTCTTACTCTATACATTTTGCAGTCTGATTAATGTCTGTGCCCCAAAGTCATTAAACCAAAGCATACTTTTATTGCATTTATTCAGGTACGTCTTCAGTTCAGGCAAGGAGGATATTCTGGGACGTCATGATGCTCCTGTCCGATGCGTTGAATACTCTTATGCTGCAGGTTTGTTGCTTTCTGACTTTATTATTATTATTTTCTATTTCACTAGTTTAGACACGCACGATTACATACATACATACATCACATGCACGCGCACATGCACGCACCTGTACACGCATATCACGTGTTAGATTAAAGGTTCTTTCTGGCTTAACCCGGATTAAAACCATCACTTTAATATGCTAGTCTTCTCTCAGTTTTCTATTATACTATCCAAACAACAGATGTTGTTGAGGACTGTTTTTTCATAATTTAGGACTGTGTTGGAATTCTAATCTATATGCTAACTCTTAATGTTAAAATCCACAAAGAAATGAAATTATATAAAGGTTCAATACTTATCTTCTTGTAAATAATCAACAATAAACAACAGTATGCATTAAATTGGTGACAAGGATGGCTGTAACTATATATTCCATGGGAGGAGGTGGGGTGGGTGTTGGGATTGGGGATGGGGGGACCTGCGTGGAGGAAGAGAGGGGGAGGAAGAGAGGGAACAATGGGATGGCAGGTGTTGTCCGAGTGAGATTTAGGACTGAAGTTGGGAGTTCAGATGGTACTGAAAGATTAAAGAAAATGATGTGAGAGAGGGAGAGAGAGATGGAGGATTCAATAATTATAGGACCTTGCTGGATGCAAGAAGTTTGGATGTTCAAGGGGTTTTCCATGTTTGACCAGCCAACTTGAGGGGATATAGCCGACAAAACCCCAGGGGTGAAAGCATTCTTCCCTTTAACCTATGACTGGACTTATGCTTTATGTGCTTGGATCTAATCATGTTTTGTTCTATTTAAAACGGATAAATTTGGTTTAATGTTGTTTAAGTGCTCCTCCATAGGAACATGAATTACATATCAAATACTGGTTTGTTTGGGCTTTACTTGTATGATTCCAACAATTGAGTTTCATAATGAAACTAACTGGGAGTTAGACTAGGGTTGGAATTCACAAAGCTTGGAACTGCATTTTCTTAGGATTAGTTAAGCTTGACCAATTTATGATTTTATCCTAAAACTACTCGTTTTACCTGTTGTATAATAGCAAAATATTTTGATAGTAGCCTTCTTTCCTCTAGCGGCTTTTTTGGATGTCTTACTTGTAACTAGTAACTAGCGTCATTGTCTAAATTGTTAGTGTGCTCTTTGGAAGCCATGAACAGTTTCTTTGCTGTTCATTATATATATTCTTTTACTTAAAATGATTCTGCATGAAATTAGTGTCATGACATTAAATTAGCACCAAGATTGTGTTTCGATTGCAGTTGTTGGCTGCTAAATTTGCATTAGGGAGTGATTTTCCTCAGAGTAGTTCTTCTAAGGTTTACTAAAGTATGGATACTTCTGCTGCTTATCATTTACTATCGTAATAAAGTTTTAGACTGTTGCAGTATCATCCAAACTTCTATATCAGGCTGACCTGTTATAGCTGACTTCAAGTTTCTATCATGTTAGGCCAAGTTGTTACAGGAAGCTGGGACAAAACGTTGAAGTGTTGGGACCCAAGAGGTGCAAGTGGCCCAGATCGTACACTTGTTGGGACTTACCCTCAACCTGAACGTGTATATTCTCTCTCCCTCGTCGGTCATCGTTTAGTAGTGGCCACTGCAGGGAGACATGTCAATGTCTATGATTTGCGGAACATGTCTCAACCTGAACAGCGAAGGGAATCTTCGTTGAAATATCAAACTAGATGTGTGCGTTGTTATCCCAATGGGACAGGTAAACCTCTTTATGAACTTGTCAGTTTCTAATTCCTCTATAATTACAGTTTGTGGATGTCGTACATTGTCAATTATTTTGTTCAGTAAGGAGGTAGATGTTTTGGTAATGGAATTAATTTTTTAGTTTTAGATGCAAATTTAGATATTACTTGCTCTTATTTGCTTTATTACTATAGTGAGGTATGTGGTGGACATAGAGTTATGCTTTTAAGGTTTACATACATAAACCCACTTAGGGCAATCCAAATGCACTTTGGGCCCCAACCCGGCTCGGTGTCCGCATGTATACTTATATATGTTTTAAGTGTATATTGTCATTAAGACCAACTCCAGCAGGGGATAATTGAAATTCACTTTATCCCCTGCCACATCATATTATTCTCCTATTACATCATCAATTGTCCCCATTATCACATGCACTCCACAGCAGGGGACAATTCAAAAAATAATTCACTTTTCTATTTCTCCACATATATTTATAATATTTTGTTTTTTCATATATGATAGTAATTAATATTATCACACATATATATCAAAATATAAATTTTTTGGGTCCATATTTGAAAGATAGCAAAGTTTTTGGAGGAAGATAGAAATCTTGAAGAAAATAGGCAAAAAATTTTGGTGTCCAAATGAAGTAAATTTGGACTCTATTTATAGATCTCGGAAAAAGAAAAATTATGGTGATTTTTTTTTATTTGATCAATTTATTGGTAAAAAATACCATTTAAAAAAAGGGTGGAAATGAAAATCGCATTGCCCAACCAAAAGTGGCCACATGTCGCATGTGCATCTCATCTCCTTTACTTTTTCTCCCGCGCATGAATTGTCTTCCAGCAACAAATAATTGAGGAGACTAAAGACACATGGCATAATTTGATTTGTTTTCCTTTCAATAATACCCTATTTATTCAATAATTCTCAAACAAAGCCACATCATTCTACCTTTCCAATTATCCATTGTTGGAGCCAATTATCCCTCCAATTATCCATTGTTGGAGTTGGTCTAATATATATTTGTATATACTTACATATATATTTCTAATGTATATAAAATTATAGTATGATTTGGTCATTAATGTATACTTATATACTTACATATAATGTATAGCTATACACAAATATGTAACTATATACTAATACATACTTATATAAATATAATAAGATTAATCTAATTTTAATCAAATTTTAGCAAAAAATCAAAAAAATAAAAAAATACAAAAAAATCCGGGCCAGTTGGGAGCCCGGCCCGATTTGGCTCGGACCCGAACTTGGTCCGGCCCGGGCACCACGGGTTCTGGTCCGGGCTAGGCATTTTGCTGGGTCCGAACCTGAAAATCCGGTCCGGGCCGGACCGGCCCGTTTGAACAGCCCTAAACCTACTGCAGACAAAAGCTTAGGTTTACATACATAAACCCATTGCAGACGTAATCTTTGTTCAGCTACTAGTATATCTCTGTAGATAACCACTTCCAAAAGAGAGCTCCCCTGTCTATTCAAGAAGTGCATTGTACCCATTTAGTTGTAGTTAGAGTGGTTCTATTTTCTTTTCTCATTAATTTGTCTAGATGTATGCGCTCCACCGTTCTTTCTTCTATATTATAATCTCAAAGGTGGACATAGAGCTGTAAGGTTAACATATATAAACCCACTGTAGACGAAATCTTTGTTCAATTACTAGTATAGCTCAGTAGACCACCACTTCCAAAAAAGAGCTCCCATGTTTCAGCAAGAAGTACATTGTATGAAGCATCAACCCAGCTAGCTCTAGTTTGAGTGGTTCTGTTTTTTTGCTCATGAATTTGTCTAAATGTATGCACTTCGCCGTTATTACTTCTATATTATAATCTCAGTGGTTGTCCTCCTTAAATGTTCATCCCTTTTTCTAGGTTTCCTTTTATTTTCTCGTTCTTCGTACTTTTTGTTTGTTGTAGGAAGGATTTCTGCCATATCCTCAAACTTCATACATTAACTGTTCACTCAGTGTCCCTTTTCCTTTTAGATTTCTTATGTAAATTACCTTAGCCTGGTCCTTTTTCCTGCTTACAAAATTGTGCTTTCATTTTTTCACCATTTACGCTCCAGTAAATGATACGAGTGTATCTTTTTCTCTGCTTCGAAAGCTTAGCGATCCTTATAAGAGCTTGAGGATGGATGATTCTCATGATAACTTGAGAATAGAGGCGTGGATGGACCCGTTGGTGGCGACAAAAGAGGTCAAAGTCAGGAAAACAGTAAGGAAAACAGGAAGCAGACAAACACTCTGGTTGGTTGATCGGGATTCCAACATTGGTCGACCGCGAAGGCCAGACCGGTCGATCGATCACTCATCGTCGGTAGACCGAAAACAGATACGCCTACAGGGTTAAAAACCCTCTCTCTGGCCAGTCGATCGAACCAAGCAGGCCGGTTGATCGTATCGCGTTTCCTGGGTGAATCTGGATTCCTTTGGGCTTGGTTATTTACGATTTTGTCATCCACGTTATTAGACATATAAATAGGGATTGTTTAGGATTTCTAAACATTAGATGAGATCAGAGAAGAGATTCTAATCAAGAGATTAGAGTTTAGAGAGAATAAAGAGGTTTTTTATTCTAGAGAGATCGTAAGAGAGAGATTTTGTAATCTTTTATTCTTCATAATCTAGAGAAGGTATTTTTCTTCGCCAATTGAATTGTTTTTGTGTGTTTTACTGTCTTCTCAAACTCGCTTTTGATAATTTCGCGATTAAAGATGCTGACATGACGATTCGTATCAAGTTGGTATCAGAACGATCAGATCCTATGAAGGGGTATGATATCCTGTGTATGGTCCTTACTCGATCACAATACAAGAAGCTAGACGATATTCTTATTTCTTTGGAATAAGTCCAGAAATCAAGGAAAAAGAAGATGACAAAAAGCGACAATACATCAAGGCTTGATGCGATGGAGAAACAGATCGAGATTATCAATTCGACTCTCATGAAGCTCGTCGATCACATCCATGAAGGAGACAAGAAAGGTGAATCTTCGACGAGATCCAAGAAGAAACCTGTGGAGTCCGATGGAGACACTGAGAATTCAGATTCCGACGAGGAGATCGAAGCCGTCAAGACTGTTCCACATCAAGGAGATAAGAGTTCTTACCAGAATCTGAAAATTGATTTCAGAGTAGAGATTTTTATTTATGATGGGAGTGTTGACGTCGAAATGATGATTGGATCGAGCGTATGATGACCTATTTTACTCTTTATAGCTATTCGTCAAAGAAGAAGATTGTTTTTGCGACATTGAATCTTTTCAGGCACGCGTTGACGTGGTGAAAATCCTACTGAAAACAGGAGAAGAAAGCGGTATCGTGGAACAAGTTCAAGGAGTTACTAAGAAAAACAGTTCTACCCGGTGAGATTTCTTAAAGAGCGTTGGTACAAGCGGTATCGTGGAACAAGTTCAAGGAGTTACTAAGAAAAACAGTTCCACCCGGTGAGATTTCTTAAAGAGCGTTGGTACAAGTGGTATGGCTTACGCTAAAGATTCAATCAGATCGTTCAAAAATACACTACAGAGTTCCAGCAACAGGCGATGGTCCTCAACATTACGACGGAGGAGTACTCTGTTTTTATGAAGTATATGATGGGATTAAACGAATACATCTAGAAGGAGATGAAACTATTCACGATAGGGTCGATTGCGGAGGCAAGCGTGAAGGCTATTGCCATTGAAGGCAAACAGAAGAAGAGCAAGGAGACGAAGGAAGAAGCCAAGCAAGCTGGAGGCGAGTCTAGTGGTTCCCAACCTAAGAAGGAGAAGAAGGGTGATCCAGGAAAAGCATGACTGATTTATAGTCAAGGTTTTAAAAGTCGTATGTCGGGTTCATGTCGGATGGCTGAAATCCATGTCGGATAGCGAAAATCGGGGATATATCGGGGGACATTGACTAAATATCGGATTGCCATATCGGATAGTGCGCATATGTATAATATCATGACCTAAATGTAATTTAAGCATTCATAAATTCAACATAAGCATATTTTATAAATTCTATAGACTAAACATATAAAAAAGTAAATAATATGTGGATTTGGGTTCATAAATTCTTTCTATCGGGTTCATAAGAAACCCTTAAACATGAGAACAGGTCAAACGGGTTTGGATATTTATCACTAAACCCAAACCCGATAACAAAAAACAGATCTTAAAAAAAAGTACCATATCAGCAGATTTTTCAAAGCTAAAAAATAAGCCGATATGCCCGATATGACCCTGATATTTCCAATTTGGCCCTGAAAACCGACATACGAGTTGAAAACGTCCATGTCGTGTCGGTCAAGCCCTCAAACCGATATGTCGGCCGACATGTCGGACATGTCGGCCGACATTTAAACCCTTGTTTATAGTCATTACGAGAAGACATGACATATAGCTGATCGATGCTGGGAGAATTATCCTCATCTCAAGCCAAAGGGGTTGAAGAAGAATGAGGAGAAAAATGCATACATGATAGCACAAGGTCCGAAAGAAGTTCCTAGGATGATAGAACCAAACAATAGTTTCAATCTCATGGCAGGGAAGCAGGCCACGAAGGAGGACGAAGACCCCAGAGAGCAGTTCTTTGTTCTTAAGTTGCAAGTGAATACTAGTTTGGTGGATGCCATAGTTAATCCAGGCAGCGAGAAAAATTTGATATCTGAGACCTTGGTTTAGAAGCTGGGTCTGAAGACGGTCAAACATCTAAAGCCCTATTCATTAGGATGGATTTAGAAGGAGACGGGGCTGAGTGTAGTTAATCAATGCACTTTCAGATTTGCACTTCACGAGTCGTATATTAACGAGGTCACGTGCGACGTAGTTCCATTGGATGTTTGTCAGATTATACTGGGCAATCCATATTTATGGGATAGATACGCAATCTACGAAAGACGGGCTCAGAAGTACATATTCACCAAAGATGGTGAGAAGTTTATATTTCGTTCGACGTCTCTTTCGAAGGAGACAAACTTGGTGACGGTGAATCGAG